TGGTTAGACATAAACCAAACCACGTCACTTCCCAATTTTAACAGTTCTAACCTCACCTTTTTCAGATTTGACATTTGACATGATACCTGACATAACATTAGATACTGGCAACGTTGTATTCCAAGGGGGCTACAATTAGGCGCTTCTCGTGAGAGTTGAAAAATTTTGAACGGGAACAAGAAGGGAAGACCTGCCGGTGATGGATTTTTGGGTGTTGCCGCACTTGCAAAATTTAAGCTATATCAAGAAAATGGTGTAAGAGAGTGGTGGCATATTATTGATCAAGCGCGAGTTTGGAAGCTTCTGAAAATTCAGTTTATCGGTGAATTTGCCAGGTTCTCCCATAGGAGGTCAATTGACTCAATGTTTTCACTCTACCAAAGTTTCAGGTTAAGACTTTGTGCGGTTGGTGAATTTCAGATTTTTTTCCATAAAGCGACTGCTTGAGGTTCAAGTTTTGAAAGGTTCTCAAAAATCAGTTTGTGGGCTAATTTGCTTGAAATTTTGACCGGAAGTACTTTTCCGAAAGTTTCAAGAAGCTTCTTGATCTGGTTAGGTTTGAACCTTTTTCATAGCCTCTACATACGCATCTTCATGCTTTAAAACCCTAAAACGCACGGATTTAGTGAATTTCCTTAACCATTGGAAAATATAGTGAACACAGCCCACAAATTCCCATTGAAATGCCGAAAAACCCACATTTTGCGCACTCCAAAAAAACCCTTATTCTAAAACAAAATTTAAAAAAATCCCGGAGTTTTTGAGGAAAGAAGTGAAAACCATCGTTTGCTAAAACATCGCCCTGTATTGTTCAAAAATCTCAACCCTGATGGTGAACGTGACAAGTTGCAGAAACGCATTCAAAAAACAAATTGTGATTGCTGTAGCTTTACCTCGCCTCCTCCCGGCTGGATTTTCGAAAAAAAAGGAAAAAATCACGTTCAAAAGACAAAAAACACGAAATATTCGCTGGACACTCACCTGTATGGAGGTGGAGCTGGAGGTGGATCGGGCAACCGGTTCACATCCAATGGGAGGACAGTGAAGGCTCCAGGGGACAAATAGTGCATGTCCAACTCCGTCTGGAGCAATAAAACCTCCATAAGAACCACAGATTTGCAGATAAGTTCTATATTGTTGAGGCGGGTTCATTTTTTTTACAAACCTATTGTTGGGTATTTCGCCTCAAAAATTTTTGTCTTTAAAAAAGACAGAATTTCCTCACACAACCAACAAGAAGTTTGTAGAAAAAACCACAGAT